TTGTATTGAGTCTCATTCTCTAGTAGAGGCTAGCTTCAAACTCAAGGTAATCCTTCTGCCTCCCCCTCCCCTCCCCGTTTTTCACTGCTACTTTTAAAGTATCACATTATTTAATCCTAGCTATCTGTATAAAGAGACTGATGGCCGGGGTTAGAACATTTTGCCAGATTGCGAGGCAACTCTTCTCCCTGCACGGTGGTGACTGTCCCTACGTTTCAGACGGAAGGTATCCGCGTATCCGCGCCCTTCAGGCATTGGGACAGTTTTTTAAAGCACAGTTTCCGTTATTTTGGATTAAAGCTCGATTGCTTCACTGATAAGTAGAGAAGGAGGCCTGGAAAAGAGCGAGAGAGAAACGCAGGGACCTGAGCACGGGAGGCAGCCTGGCAGGCGAGGGCGGGCGGGGCGAGCTCCGTGCTCCTGGGAAGGTCCCGCGTTGCCCTCCCCTCCTCCCGCCACGAACAGCAGCCGGCGACACCTGGGCGGCGCAACAGCTGCCAGCGCTGGGCGGCAGAGAGGCTGGCAGCCTGGGAGGTACAGCGGGCAGCCGGAGCTCCGGCAGCGACAGCCAGGGAGGTTGGGGCGGAGACGCGCTCTGGGTGTGACTTTTCTGCCCACTGACGGTGTCACCGAGACTGCTTTCAGGTCCTGCTCTGGGTCTTGGTGTAGCTGGAGGAGTTGGTGGAGGGATTTTTGTTGTCCTTGCTATCCTGACTGCTACAACGTGAACCACCGGGTGTCGGCAACCAACAAGTTTCATTCCTCAGTTTCTCCTTTAGTTAAAGAGTTACTTCTGCTGCCCTCTCCGCCGTGTGTCCGCGGAGCTAGGGACACCAGGTAGGCAGTTGCGACCGGATTGGGGGTGGTACTCTGAAGGCTTGACCCCAGACCTGTGGCTGGAGGCTGGCAGGACCTGGCCGCGGAGTAATTGCCCGCAGGGTGCTCAGGTGAAGACCAGCAGAGGATAGACCTTTCTCCAGGCGCAGCGAGGGGGAGCCAGCTAAGGACCGGAGAGCTCTAGTTTGAAAATTAATCAGATTTGTTTTGGGACAGTTTCCTCTACACCCAACCAGATCTCTTTTCGTAGCGAGCTAAGTCACATGGGTGGGATTTGCCAGCTTCAAACTGCAACACCGCGTGTTTCAGGGTGTAAGACCCCGTCCAGTAGCCCTAGAAAGGGGTAGGAAGTGGGGTAGGAAGTGGGTCTCTGCGCTCACAGTGCCTCCTCCCTTTTCCTTTTCCCCTTTCCTCCTTTTATAAGTCGCCTTTGGCTACGAGGGGCTCCATTTCCTGCATCGTTGAAAAGTTCTCATTTTCACCAAGGGTTAGTGTGTGACCAGCGGCTTCCAGGACTCCAGGCTGTGGGCTCCGGGTTGAGAGGGAAGCCTAGACACACACTTTGAATCACAGATTTCTGACCCTACACCCTAGTAGTGGAGTGCAGAGAAAACCTGAGGGATTCAGATACACAGCTGGAGGGTCGTGTGGGTCCAAACTTTCAGTTTGGTGGGTCCAACTATCTCTCCTTTTGATAGCCTTTTCTGGCTAAAACGCTGATCCTGCTGTCTGCAGGATGGAGAAGACAGGACAAGGCAAGCTAATTGAAAGTGGCTGAGATCTTGACTCTGTTTCTGGAGCTCTCTAACACCCAGCCCTCAACTTCTTTCATCTCTGCCCTTAATCATTCCTGGCATACATTTGAAATCAGATCCTTGGACCCACTAAAAGTGTCCAGGAAGGAGAAGAGAGGTTCAGTGAGGGAGGAGGGGCGGTGCTGATTTCTCTTCTCCGGACATTTATTATGGACAAGACACTGTTCTCTATATAATGCATCCCTAAATTCTCTCAAGGTTGGTTCACTAGACTTCATTTATAACTGAGATGCTGAGGCTAAGAAAGATTGGTTCTTGTATTCTAACACAGCTAATCACTGGCGCAGTTGGGATTAAAACCTAGTTTCTAATTCTAAAACCCTTCTACGTTGTGCTCTTCTGTAAAGACAAGCCAGGGCTGGTAAAAAGCAAGCAAGCAAGCAAGCAAGCAAGCAAGCAAGCAAGCCAGCCAGCCAGCCAGCCAGCCAGCCAGCCAGCCAGCCATTATTGAGCTCTCACTAAGTGCCAGGCACTGTTAAAGCATCTCAGAAGTCCTATTGACATGTATGGTCAGGAATGTCCATCATTCTGGGGGATCAGTGACTGACATTGCCTCTCTCTCAGTAGCAGCCCCACTCCAGAAAGCCTGCCTAATCCACTCAGCTGCTACTGCTTGGGTGAGGCAGGAGTTCTGTTTGCTTTATGCTAGAAATGGTTTGGGGTCTAATGAAAGATTGATTGTCTGAATCTGATCCGTTAGACCTGACCGTTGGCTTGTGAATGATCGCTCTGTCCCTTAAGAGGCTCATTCCAGTCTTTACTCAATAAACATTTGTGGAATGAATGAATGAATGAATTAGCACCTTGTGCACAGTGATCTGCTGCTTGCAGAACAGTGAAGCAGTGGTGGTGGTGGTGGGGTAGCAGCCTGGGCCCTAAACTCCAAGCCAGTGATGCCAGCAGTGGCTTCCCTGAGCCAATCTCCCTCCTCTTTTGTAAATTGCAGATGATGACCTCCTTACCATAGATTTTTTGTCACTCAAAAACACCGAGGATGATCAGCTGAAGAGGGCTTGTTTGGTTTGTGGTTTCAGCCCATGTTCATTGTCCTCTATTGCTTCTAGGCCTGTAGCAAGGCAGTGTGTGATGGTGGGAGTGTACCTTAGAGGAGAAGACAGTTTCCTCTGCGAGTGAACACCATCGAGGTCTTAAGTTTTAACGAATGGCCATAGTCTACTTCCTTGTTAAAATAAAGGTTAAAAGATTTCTTACTTTTATTTTATGGGCGGGTATTTTGCTGGCATGTATATCTGTGTACCACATGCATGAAGTAGCCATAGGAGCCAGGAGAGGAGTCAGACCATCTGGAACTGGAGTGTTGTGAGCCACCATGTGGGTGCTAGGAGCCAAACTAGAGTCTGCTGGAAGAGGAACACTCTTACTGCTCTCTCTCTGCTCCCCCTCCCTCCTTCCCCCTCTCGTAATTAGTGTAATGTATGTGAGTGTATGCATGCCTGGTACCCTTGGAGTTCAGAATAGGGCATCACATCCCCCGGAACTGGAGTTGCAGATGGTTGTGTGCTGTCATATGAGTTCTGGGACTCTAATCTGGGTCCCGTGGAAGAGTAGTCAGTGCCCTTAAGACCCTCTGAGGACTCGTATCCACAGAGCTGTACATATCCTTCTTCCTAAAGGTTCCAGTATGCCCCAGTGGTATCACCAAGCACTTGGTACCTTCAGGGGACATTTCGAAACCAAACTATATTACTACTCTCCTCTGTCAGTCAGTCATGAGAACCGAGTGTTACATGTTACTTATTATTTATTACTTGAGTTATACACAAGTGTGCTCCCTCCCTCCTTCCCTCCCTCCTCCCTCCCTCCCTTCCTCCCCCCTTCCTCTTTCCCTCCCTTCCTTTTTGTTTTAAAATTAAAGATCCAAGCCTGTTTGGTGGTTAATAGTTTTTTTTTTAAATTAGATATTTTCTTTATTTACATTTAAAATGTTATCCCTTTTCCTGGTTCCCTTCTGGAAACCCCCATCCCATTCCCCCCCTTCCTCTATGAGGGTGCTTCCCCCACCCACCCACCCACCCACTTCCACCTTGGGGTATCAAGCCTTCACAGGACCAAGGGTCTCTCCTTCCACTGATGACCGACAAGGCCATCCTCTGCTACATATGCAGTTGGAGCCATGGGTCCCTCCATGTGTACTCCTTGGTTGGTGGTTTAGTCCCTGGGAGCTGGGGGGGGGGCTCTGATTGGTTGATATTGTTGTTTTTCTTATGGGGTTGAAACCCCTTCAGCTCCTTCAGTCATTTCTCTAACTCCTTCATTGGGGATCCCATGCTCAGTCCAATGGTTGACTGTAAGCATCCCCCTCTGTATTTGTCAGGCTCTGGCAGAGCCTCTCAGGAGATAGCTATATCAGGCTCCTGTCAGCAAGCACTGCCCAGCATCTGCAATAGTGTCTGGGTTTGGTGACTGTGTATGAGATGAATCCCCAGGTGGGGCAGTCTCTGGATGGCCTTTCCTTCAGTCTCTATTCCACATTTTGTCTCCGTATTTCCTCCTGTGAGTATTTTGTTCCCCCTTCTAAGAAGGACCGAAGCATCTACACTTAATCTTAAAATCCTGATCAGAAGATTTGAGTATTTCCTTTGTTTTACAGTGTGAAGGCAGACTTGACCTTCAAGGGAACTATGTATTTATACAGGAAATTCTGAGAGCTGTCTAAGCCAGGCAGAAGCATGCTAGGCAGAATCAGTAAGAACAGTTTGAAGGGCAGGAGCACATTGGTGAAGACTGAGAGCCATGAGCCATGACCTCAAGGGGCATTCTTGGGCATTCATCGAATTCATTGACAGACTGGGGAGATAGACCAATGGGACCTGCTGTGGGAAGCCAGTGGCTTGGCTATTACTTCTGTATTCACAGAAGAAAAATTGTACAAACTGGGCTTTCTCCTTCCTTCTGAATCTGGGCTTCTTTACTTAAACAGTTGGGGAATTGGACTAGATGAGATTTCTTGCAATCTTAAAGGTCTGGTTCTGGGTTATTTTCTATTCACGTCTCAAATGAATCAGGTAGTGGGAAAATGGTCCTACTCTCTGTTGTTTTGAGCTTCTGATGACAGCTTTGTGACAGTCCTCACCTGACATGCTGTTTAGAGGGCAGTTGTTTTTAGTCACTTAATTGTTAGCTATTAGTCTAGAACCCCCTAGAATGTTGGGGGGAGAGAATAGTTTGGGGGTTAATTTTTGGAATGTTAGGTATATAGAAATATAATAAAAGCAGGGTTTTAAAAAAATCACAATGAAGTCATGTGGTTCATTAAGTATTTGCTGCTAAGTTACTAAGTACAGTGTTTTTCTACAGTGCCCCCTGGGCACTTGGCCATGTGATAGAACTCTTGCAGAATGTGGGAGAGGCACATGACCCTGCTTGACTAGCACAGCACTGCAGAGTGAAAGGAAGTTACAGAAGACAAGAGAGAGAACACAGCCGTGGTCAGCACAGGGATGCAAAGAAAAGACCAATGTAGGAAAGTCTGAGGCTCTGACGGCTCAGGCCGTGCTCTTCAATGCTGCATCCTGAGACTGGCACTCCGGAGAAGCTTAGTGAAGTATTTTAAATTAAACCATAAATGAACAAATGAAACAATGTATGAATCGCTCTGCTGAGACATGGTGCTGTGCCCCCGTGACAGTTGCAATGAAGTCTCTTTGAATGTAAACCTCCCAAATCACATTCATAGGTGTCGTCTCTCGTCAATGATTGAGAGAACCCATGGCTAAAATGAAAGCATTTCCTACCCCACAAACGTGTGTGTGTGTGTGTGTGTGTGTGTGTATCACACATACGTGAGAGCACATGCATGTAGAGACCTGACATTGATGTCAGGAAACACGCTTAATCATTCTTTCACTGTATCAAATGAGGCGTGATCTCTAAATCAAACCCAGTGCTCGCAGGCACGACTAATCTCACTAGCCAACTTGTTTTCGAGGTTCTCCTCTCTCTTGCTTCTGAGGCTGGTGCCCAACCAGCATTTATGTGGGTTCTGAGCATCCTAACTCTGGTCCTCATGCTTGGAAGGTAAGCATGTGACCTTTGAGCATCTCCCCAGCCCCTTACAGCACACTATCCATTCTTGGTGGCTGCCAATAGACATTAGATTTGGCTTCATATTCCTGAGTCTTCCTTCTATAAATTCACCAAGAAATAGTTGTGGGAGTGGGGATG